AGAGAGAGAGAGAGAGAGAGAGAGAGAGAGAGAGAGAAGGGCCAAGCGGAAAAGTTATGGGACAAAATGATAGCCCCCCACCTCATTACTTTGAGCCCCAATTATATCTTCTCTCTTTCCTCATGTACCCGTGGCGCACTTTAATGCCTAATCAGGAATGCCTTGACATTCATTTGAGAAGTACTTGGCTTGATTGAGTTTCTATGAATGGGAATCAGTCCATGAGAGTTGCCTGTCTCTAGAAAGTGCTCTATAAAGATAGGTGACTAGCGCCTCTCCCATGACTTTCCATCTACAGAAATCTCTCTGGTCCAGCTGGACAGCATGAGCCTTTCCCACCAGATGTTGGTAAGATGCGCTGCCATTATTGGTCAGACCTTCACGACAGAGCTGCTGTTTGAGATCCTCCCTTGTTGGAACATGAAGATGATGATCAAAGCCCTGGCAACCTTAGTGGAATCCAGCATCTTTGACTGCTTCCGCAGTGGCAAAGAGCTCCAGATGGCTCTGAAGCAACACACAGGCTCCTTTGAAGTGCATTTTCGCTCCTTGTCTCTGAAGAACAATGGTGGGATAAGTAAGTAGAGAGTCAAGAATTGACTCATGTGTGCCCTTAGTTAAAGGAACCTCTAGAGCAAAGAACAGCTCTGTTCTTAGGAGCAGAAGCCTATTTGTTGTGCGCTGACTTGTTGACAAACGAAACCCTTTCTGTTCTCTCCAGCTCTTCATGAAGAGGAGGAGCTTCGAGAACTGGAAAGTGAGGTGATTGAGTGCCACATCATTCGATTCTGCAAGCCTATGATGCAGAAAACAGCCTATGAGCTGTGGCTGAAGGACCAGAAGAAAGCCATGCACTTGAAGTGTGCCCGCTATCTAGAAGAGAAGGCTCACAGATGTGACCACTGCAGAAGTGGGGACTTCATTCCTTATCACCACTTCACAGTGGACATTCGACTCAACACGTTGGACATGGACATGATTAAGGCGATGGCGTTGGCCCACGGCCTTAAATGTAAGCGTACTTCTTTCATTACTAGTCCTCAATGGAGAGATCTGGAAAGTAATCTAGAGGGAGCAGATCTGGACCACAAGGGTCCCTGAGAGGCTGGGCACAGAGAATGATGCAACTTTGACAACAGAGGCCAGCCATTGGGAGTGCACGATGTCCCTGGAGAAGCGCCAGGGGCTTGAGAATGTCGAGGGAAGAGACCAGGTGAAGCCCTTGACAAGATGAGTCGATACAGTGGCTGAAACAAGGGGCTCACCACTGGAGATCCCCTTGCAGAGGGGTCTCGGGGAGGTGATGAGCCAGTCAGGGTGCGATGTAACAATGATGAGAAATACAACCTTCCTCTAGTTCCTAAAGGTTTCCTCCCCGCTCCACTACCATGACTCAAATTCTATCTTGCAAGACTGGCTAGACCAGAGGAGGTACACTGGTACAGATAGGAACTGAAAATACAGGGAATCCAGGATGGATGAGCCCTATAGGACCAGTGGTGTGAGTGGCAAAACAGGGAGGGTGGAGGGAGAGTGGGTAGGAAAGAGGGAACCAATTGCATGGAACTGTGTGTGGCCTCCTCCCTGGGGGAAGGACAACCGAAAAGTGGATGAAGGGAGAAGTCGGACAGGGCAAGATATGACAAAATACCCATTTGTAAACTATCAAGGGCTCATGCGGGAGGGGGGAGCGGGGAGGGAGGGGAAAAATGAGGACCTAATGTCGGGGGTTTAAACGGAGAGAAAATGTTTTGAGAAACGATGTACAAATGCGCTTTATACAATTGATGTGTGTATGGATTGGGATAACAGTTGTATGAGCCCCTAATAAAATGTTAAAAAAAAAAAAAAAAAAAAAAAAACAAGGGGCTCACACCTAAGACCAACTGTGGGCTTGTGCTTCATTCTGTTGGACATGAGGTCTCTACGAGTCCCAAGGGGCTCCAAGGCACCTACCAGGACAAACACTAAGAGGAGAGGTTTGTGTAAAGATAGAGAAAGTGAGGGAGTTTGTCACGTGGATGGCTGGGGAAGAGTATTCCAGGACAGCTAGTGCAATGACTCTATGACAAGAGTTTGACCCCTCCCATCCTAGACAGTGTGGTTTATGTCTTGGACTTGGGATGGCAGGAGAAAACGTAAGAGAGAACCTTGTCATCTTGAACCAGAACTCTTATTTCCAGATTTTTGAAACCACAGAGTGAGCAAGTAGTAACTTTGCATACCTCCTTTCTTTTGAGGGCATATCAATATTTTGCATCTTAATCCTGATTTTTACAGATGGTCTTTGATGTAGTGAATTCTTTAAAAAAATTTTTATTAACTACTTTTATTGGGGGCTCTTACATCTTTTATCACAATCCATACATTCATCCATTGTGTCAAGCACATTTGTACAATGCTGCCATCATAATTTTCAAAGCATTTTTTTTCTACTTGAGTCCTTGATATCAGCTCATTTTTCCCCTCCCTCCCCTGCCCGTCCTCCCTCATGAACCCTTGGTAAGTTATAGATTGTTATTTTCATATATTACACCATCCTCTGTCACCTTTCGCCCACTTTACTATTGTTCCTCCCCCTGGGAGGGGGTTATATATTAATCCTTGTGATTGATCCCCCCTTTCTTCCCCACCTTCCCCTTATCCTCCTGGTATATCTATTCTCATTATTGGCCCTGAGGGGTTTATCTATCCTGGATTCCCTGTGTTTCGGGCTTTTATCTGTAGCAGTGTGCATATTTTAGTCTAATCCAATTTGTAAGGTAGAACTGAGGTCATGATAGTGGGGGGAAGGTAGCACCAAAGAACTAGAGGAAAGTTGTGTGTTTCATTGGTGCTATACTGCACCCTGACTGGCTCATCTCTTCCTTGTGACCTTTCTGTGAGGGGATGTCCAATTGTCCACAGATGGGCTTTGGGTCTCCACTCCACGTGCCCCCCGCCCCCCACGTTCACATTGGGTATGATTTTGTTCTGGGTCTTAGATGCCTGATACCTGACCCCATCGATACCTCTTGATCACACAGGTTGGCATGCTTCCTCCACGTGGGCTTTGTTGCTTCTGAGCTAGATGGCCACTTGTTAACTTTCAAGCCTTTAAGACCCCAGAGGCTATATCTTTTGATAGCTGGACACCACCAGCTTTCTTTCCCTGATGTAGTGAATTCTTGATAGAATCTTTCCCCCTTTAAACAAAGAAATCTGAGAGCTAAAAATATGGTTCAACCAATGGTCAAAGATATAATGACAAAAATCAGAAGTAGATTTTATTTTTACTCATTGATTTTGTTTTTGATGAAGATGCATTGATTCTGCAAATATTCATTAATCATCTATTCTTTGAGGTAGGCAGTGATCCAGGTACTGGGGATATGATCACTGGTAGGATTCAAAGAATTTAATAACCACGTTTGCTGTCCTAATGACTGTTTATGTATAAAAAGATACACTGAAAGGTAATTTATTATTTAACACAGTCAATACCTACATAAAGCAATAAGAGGTACACAAAACTAGGTTATAAGAATTTTAAAAGTTAATGAAGAAATATTAAATAATACATGACAAAACAATAAGACTCTAATTTGCATCTTGACTGGCATCCTTACTTGAAATATTCTTCACTTTCATCTGAGCATCGTTGGCTGTGTGATTTATCCTTAACCATCGTTTCACGCTAAGAGTAGGATCCCATTCCTTGAGAAGTAGGCCAACTAGACAATAGCCATTGTGTTTGATATATTAGAAACAGGCGACTTTTCCTCTTTAAATGTAATATGTTCATCTTTAAAAAACCCTTTCAGCTTCTGATGAACTTGCACCAACTGTCCTGACAACATTGGGCCCTTCGGACACTTTCAGGACTTGCATGACTCACTCATACCGCCTCATGGGAGACTGGGGCAGGGCACAGAGCTGAAATGAAGGTCTGCGTGCCACCCTCCGGTTGCTTGGCATTTTTTTCTCTTTACATGATGCTTGTTTGCTGAAGTCACAAATGCAAGGGAATAAAAATGTCGTGTCTCATCAAAAATATAAATCAATTTTATGAACTGAATAAATAAATATTGCAGGCATAGTTCTGGCAAATTTTTTATACCTGTGGATAGAATGAACATTACTATAGGCACTTAGGATATACTGTTGCATATCCTATTAAAAATATTAAAACTAAGTGAGGAATGTTCATTTGTGATTTCTTCATTGGCGGCTGACAGCTGCCCACCTTAGAAAGAACCCTGTAGACAAGTGCCATTTGAACAAACTCAACAAAAAATGTGGTTTCGGTTCTGCAGAACTGGTACAAAATGGCTGAATCTCACCAGTGGATATAGTGCTTAAAAGGATACACTTAAATCTATTTTCATACATTTTGAATTTTAGTGGATCCTGGCAGATAAGCAGATTAATCAGACCATTGAGGACCTTGTAGGATTTGATGACTGGTTTGAATTGCATTCTGTGAATTGGGACCGAAAGGGGCTCTAGTGACAGAGTGGTAAAAGCACTTGGCTGCTAACCAAAAGGGCAACATTTGAACCCACCTACCAGACTATTGATGGAGATGATTATTGGCTGTCTATAGCAAATAGCCAGCTGTTATTGTTATTGTTGGCTGCCATCAAATCGGCCCCTGGTTCACTGCGACTCCATGTACACAGAGTAAACTTCTCCATTGGATTTTCTCGGCTGGAATAGTTACAGAAGCAGTTTGCCAGGCCTTTCTTCTGTGGAGCCCCTGGATGGACTACAGCCAGCAACCTCTGGCTTAGCAGCTGATTGCAATCTGCTTGTACCACCCAGAGCCAGGACCCAGCTGTTGATGTTGTTGTTAGGTACTGAGTTAGTTCCAGCGTAAGGATAACCCGCTGTACAGCAGAACGAAACACTGCCCAGTCCTTCACCATGGTCGCAGTCGTTCCCGTGTTTGATCCCATTGCTGTATGCACTGAGCCATTAATCTCATTGAGGGTCTTCTATTTTTCTGACCCTCCATTTTACAAATCATGATGTCCTTCTCCAGGGTCTAGTCCCTCCTGACAACATGTCCAAAGTAATTAAGTTGAAATCTCATCATCGTGCCTTCTAAGGAGTATTCTTGTCGGTACTTCTTCCAAGACAGACATTTTTCTGGCAGTCCCTGGTTATTCCAGTATGCTTCATGAACACCAAAACTCAGCTAGAGGAGTGTACATTTATTTGTCACATGTAAAGTCCTGAGTTCATCACTGGGATAAGTAGGTAACCTTTGAACATATGAGACCCTTCGTCCAAAACAACTGCTGGAGTCTTAGCCATCATATTTATGTTTCATGCCAGATTAAGGAGAAAAGTCCCCAAATAAAAGGAGTGGCCCTAACTTTTAAAGGAAATTTTCTAAATGTCCTTCCAATGCTTTCTTTTTTAATAACAGTGACCAGGACTTAAACTTAGTCACGACTTACCCATGGGGGCATCTGCAGTTGCAAAAGAGGCTGGGAAATATGGTCTTTGTCTGGATGCTCAACAGCCTTGCAGAGGAGTGAGTTCGGTTACTAAAAGACAATGGAAGTTGGAGCAGGAGGACCGAAGTTACTGGCACAGAGATCTGAATCATTGGCGGGAAAATCACGTTTACTCTGTCTTCTCGGTAGAGAACAGATGAAAGGAAATAGAGTATCAGAGATATCACTTTATTGTAGTTATTCAGATAACTGAGGTTTGTTTTGAGGGCAGTACTAAAAAAATGGATGGGATAAGTACTTTAGATATGTTTAATGGAATAGTCATTTGGATTTCCTAATGGGTTGAGAAGGAATAAAAATAATCAAAGATATTGTGTAGGTTTTTGCTTTGAAAAAAGTGGATATATAGTGCTGATGTTTACTGTGGTAGGGAGTAGAAGGTTAGGGAGGTGGAGAGCTTCAAAAGTTCTATATAGATCATGTTAACTTTGAGAAGTTTATTAGGTGTCTAGAGTCCCTGAATGGTGGAAATAATGTCCCCTAAAGCCTGGAGATTCTAGCATACTCAGTGTGCTGTAAGATATGAAAACAATAATAATTTGTAATTTATCAAGGGTTCATGAGGGTGGGAGAGTGGGGGAGGGGGGAAAGAGGAGCTGATACCAAGGGCTCAATAGAAAGTAAATGTTTAGAAAACGATGATGCAACATATATACAAATATGTTTGATATAATTGATGTATGGAATGGTATGAGTTGTAAGAGCCTCTAATAAAATGATCTAAAATTTTTTAAAAGATGTAATAAAGACCTAAACACAAACCCTCAACTTATAAAGATCATCAATGAAAAAATAGGGAACGGACCTAATGCATGAAATAAACACATTATCAAACATAATGAAACATACACGCAGCAGCAGTCAAAACAGAAAGAGAGATAGATAAAAATGACCTCAGGGACTTGTTTTAATTCAAGGTTTAGAGCGTCTCCCAGAGCAATAGTTTCAAGGAGTCTTCTAGTCTTACCCAGTTCAATGAGTCCGGATTTTCAAAAGAATTTGAAGTTCTGGTCTCCTTTGTTCACATCTTTTTACTGTGGTGGAGTTTATGTATTCCTAACCATTTCATCTTTTGGGTAACTATTATAAATACTAGTCTTCTTGATTTCCCTTGCCAAACTCTTTAGTCAGTATTCAAGACTCTGACTGATCTTTGTATGCTGAGCTAATACCCTACCATATTGCTGAATCTTTCCATTAGTTCCAACACTTTTCTTGTCAAGTCATTGAGGCTTTGTATGTGTTTATTCAAATCACCTGAAAATAGAGTCTAACTTTTTTTTTGTCAGTTTAGATGTTTTTAATTTCCCTCTGTTGCTTAGACTTCCAGCACGATGCTGAACTAGAGTGGTTATAACGGGCACCCTTCTTTAGTTCCTGTTTGAAAGGGATGCTTTACATTTCTCTTCATTGAGCAAGATGTTACCTGTGTGTTTTAAATGTTTGCCCAGTCTTATGGTGAAGACTTTCTCTTCTCATCCTATGTTATTCATAGTTTTTATTAGGAATGGGAGTTAGCTTTTGTCAAAAGATTTTGCCTTCTCCATATCAATTGATATGATCATGTAGTTAATTTCCTTTGTTTTTTTATGTGATGGATTTTATTGGTTGTTTTTTTAATGTTCAGCCTCCTTGCATACCTGGAATGAACCCCACTTGGTCATAATGTAATATTATGGATAAGTTGCTGGATTCTACTGGCTAGGATATTGAGAATTTTAATATCTGTGTTCATAAGGGTTATTGGTCTGTAACTTTCTATTCTGTTAATGGGCTTGTGAGGTTGTAGTATTGCTCAATTCATAAAATGAATTTGGAGTTTGCCATCTTCTGTTCTGGAAAAGTTTGCATAGAACTGGCATCAACTTTTCTCTGAATTGGTGTGATTCACCAGTGAAGCCATCTGGTCCCCAATTTTTTTAATTGGAAGTTTTAATGACCTGATTCATTTCGTTTTGTTTGTCTGTTTCGGGTCTGTTCAAATTTTCTACATCAATCTGTGTTAATTTAGTAGGTGGTATTTTACTGGTAATTCGTCCATTTCTTCCAGGCTTTCAAATTTCAAAGTACAGTCTTTCATCCATTCAAAATCCAAAATTGACTGCCATTGAATCAATTCCTCCTCACAGCAACACAGTAGAAGGCAGAGTATAGAACAAAGTAGAACTGCCCCTGTGGGTTTATAAGACTAAAATTTCAGGGAAATGTTCTCATTTTTCTCTCCCATGGAGTGACTGGTGGTTTTGAACTGCTGATCTTGTGGTTAGCAGTCCAATGTGTAACCACTAAGCCACCAGGGATCCTCAGTCCTTCATAATATTATTTTAGTATTTTCATTTCAGTTGGTTCTCCTGTGGCACCACCTGTTTTGTTTCTTATTCGTGATATTTGCATCTTCCCTTCCTTTTCCACTGGGCTTTCAATTTTGTTCATCCTTTCAAAGAACCAACTTCCTGTCTTCTTTATTCTTTCTACTCTTTTTCTAACTCATCTTGCCATTGCTTCAAGTGCCTGCTTTGCTCATTTCAAGTATTGTGTTTACTAAAATCTTAGTATTAATCTTCTAAATTTCTATTTGCTGTTTTTGAATGGCTTCTATTTTTTTCATTTATTTTGACAGATTAATCTTTATTATCTCTTTTCTTCTGGTGGCTGGAGGTTTCTTTTGCTGTTCTTGGTCTAGTTCTTGGATGTGTTTGGTTAAGGTGCTGATTTTGATTCTTTATTTTTGATGTGTACGTTTATTGCCATCAGTTACCCTCTGAGTGCTGCTTTTGTGTGTGTTTTGAAATGTTGTGTTTTCATTCACATTGTTTCAAAGGATTAAAAAATAATAACTCCTTATTTCTTCAATTCCCTAGTAGTTTTTAAGCATTGCGTTATTCATGTCTATGTATTTGTCCACCCCACCCCCCACCCCTTTATCTTCCTATTGTTGATGTCTCTGGTCACCAAGGGGCTGTGGGGATCTAGGCATGATCTAGCCCCTCAGGGTGCCTATCTGTGCCATGCTGCATCGGTGCAACACCCCACAGAAGGTCGATCCTAATTGCTCCATCTTTTCTCTAAGACTATATTCTATAGTCCGAGGGTGTTCAGGAGGTGTATTGTCAGCCAGTGTGTGTGCAAGGGTGGGGCGGGGCATACCGCTGTTCACTGGGATGTGCGGAGGAAGGGGAGGGGTTCTCTTTCTTGTTGTAACGTGCTGGGGAATGTCCTGAGCTGTGAGCAGAGCTCATTCTGATTGGCAGAGAATTCTTGGTCTGTCTGTCCTCTGAGTGGGGTTCCATTTTCATTTGTTCACCCTTCTCTATCAGGATTCAGTTCACGTGTCTTTCCTCAGAGCCTCGAGGCTCCTGGTTTCCCCTCTGTATCTGTGCTCTCACATCGTTGTTGTAGAAGTTCTGGGCTGCCATCCTGCTAGAAGTTGCTGAGATCACTTTTAATGAAATACTAGATTGGCTCACAAAACCAAGAATATCACCTGTGAGTACTGTGCCTCTTTAAAAATTGTAGATATGAGACCAAATGGTCAATAATTATTTAAAAATAAAAATGAGAAAATCAAGAGCCGGGGGAAGTGGGTGACTGGAAATGGAGCAACCAGAACAAGAATGAAAATGATCATGCATAGAACCAGTGTCACTGAACAACTTATGCAGAAATTGTTCAATGGGACACTTTCTTATTTTCGAGTGAAAGGTGGGCAAGATTAAACAGTTCTCATTGGTTTTCTGATCTAAGACCATTATCAAATTCCCTAACCTATTGATGCTTGGTTAGATAAGACTAACTTCTGAAGAGTTTAAATTCCACTTTATCTGTCTTTTCATTGGCCTAATGGGGTATTTTATTTAAATATTGATATTTCCTCACAAGAAACTATATGTCACTTCCTTCAAGTTCATTAATTAATAGTGTTAGTTATTGCAGGGTAAATTGGTTAGGATAGTGTTATCAGCTGGAACATATCTGGCATCTTTGGGTAAACGTTGGAATGCTAACTGCAAGGTTGGTGGTTCAAATCCACCATTCTACTCCCATAAAGATTTACAGCTTCAGAATACCTCAGACAATATATATATATATATATATATATATATATATATATATATATATGCACCATGAGTTAGAATTGACTCAATGGCAGTGAGTTTTTAACATTTCCATGGTTTCACACAGTAGAATCATAGATTATTTCCTGCTCGTGTAATAATCCAATGGGGAAATTGACAAATAGCCTTGCACACGCAATAGGTCAGGAACCAAGTCTGTTCTTATCTTGTGGCTTGACTCTTCTGTGGAGTCCCAGAGTCCTTTGCTTTCCTGTGGGAGGAGAGAGTACAGAAGACCCCTAACCATATCAACCCATCTGATCTCATTCTGTTGTGTGAACTAGTTGTGAGGATTCATCTGCGAGGCAGTGGGGATTGGGAAGGACAGACCCTGACTGGGGAGCCAACAATTCTGCATGTGAGAGGAGAGCAGGAGTCTTTGGTGGGCACCAGACATGCCTCTATACGGAAAACGTCAATGACCCATACAATTCATTTGTTTATTTTCTAGCTGAAGAAGAGAGCACCTTTTCCATATCAGGGATTCCTATGAAATCTGACATGTTTCCTGATGACCTCAGGTACAGGGATATATCACTGTTTAGGAGGTAGAGCACAAGCAGTTATCACTGAATCCAGAAGACTGTTAGAATTAATTATCTGGCCAATCCTTTGCGCCTCGTAGGGACACGTGGGGCAATGTGCACAGGGAGCTGGAGAGCAGCACCTGTGTTTTACTATCTTGCTGTTTATTAGTCTAGAAAGAGAGTTTCGTATCAAAAGCTATATTTGGAAGTGACTGTCACTCTTTCTGTCTGCATTTGGACAGTGCCGAAGAAATAAGAGAGAAGCTCTTGGAGTTCTTCGACGCCACTGTCAGGAAAATGAGGACTGCCGAGGAAGACATCATCCCCTTGGAGTCTTGCCAGTGTGAGGAGATCTTAGAGACGGTCATCTTACCTCTGGCCCACCACTTTCTGGCTTTGGAGGAGAACCACAAAGCCTTGTATTACTTCCTCGAAATCGCATCTGCTTATATCATCATGAATGATAATTATATGGTAAGCTGTCTGTTCAAACCTCCTTCACCCTAGGGACCAATTCTATACCACCGTAGAGCCAGCTAGACCCTCGTCAGAAGGGGCTTGAAGGAAGCTGGGAGGATGATGTTTACTTTGTGTTCTTGATTCCTGCTAGCATCCCTTCTCGCTGAAAACCAAATTTCCTAAAAAGGGAAATGATTTAAGACTGAGAAAAGGGAATTAGGCCAAAATTGTGTCTATCATTAGGCATCATTTAAAAAGTTGCCACTTTTAGAAACGGGTTTGTCTACCTGTATGGAAATAGGAGTCCAAGCTCTTGCAGAGGGGACCTTTGCTATCACTGTGAGTTTCAGGATACTCCTTCCTAATAATGGCCCAGTGGCTTTCCCCGCTTGTCTTGACAAACTCCGTGAGAGGACAAAGTATCTGTCGCTCTCTAAATGAGTGCAAATCTGCAACGAGGCTCTCAGCCACTTTGGCCTGCATGAAATCTGTGCCAGGCCATCACCAACCCCTTTCGACCCCTTCAGGATAGCAATTTGTACATAAAGTTCCAGGCCATTAGGCCCCAGTGAGTGTCCATGGCACACAAGGATGGTGAAGGTTTAAGACATATCACAAAATAGAAATAATTCCTTTTTGAATAAGTTGAGAAGCACTGAACCAAATAAAGCTAAATTGCAAATACTTCAGGGCCATCAATATGTTAAAGCATATATAAGTCTCCCAGAGGGGAGAGATGGGGAGAGGCTAGGCCAGGGCCAGGTCTATGTCTAGTACAGCAGACTGTGTCTCTTAAACTGATTTGACTTTACATACTTTGCATGAAGCAGCTGGCTGGACTAGACTTGCATGAACTCCCTTGAGGGAAGGCCTTTCTGGGCCTTGCTTCGTCTGACTCGAACCACCTCCAGGAAAGATGTCACTCACCTGAATCATCATAGCCACGGACCTTCTTGTCCACCATGCTGGTCTGCTCCCTATTGTACAGTTGCTCGTGATCAGAGCAGCCCACTCAAGTCTCATACCTTAGGTTTGCATAAAATTAAAAATGTTAAACTATTAAAAATGTTAGCGATCCCTGTTCTCATAAATATTCATGCTAATACAGATGAAAGATCCCTATCTAGGGGAATCTGGTACATATTTTAAGTGTGTGTGTGTGTGTGTGTGTGTGTGTGTGTGTGTGCTGTGTGTGGTACATTGCATGTGAATACACAGTGGCCTATCCTAGAGGACTTCAAAAAGTTTTTATGGAAAAATAGAATTAAAAGATAGTGGACGTTTCCTGTGGGCGTTGTGAATCCCCTTCGCATAGTGTGAGAGGGTGGCCAGTAGGTCTTTATAAGAGCAGATTCAGGGAGTGCTCCAGGTCCACCTGCTAAAATGTGGAGTCGTGTGAGTGATCAGGAAGATGGTGATTGGAAGCAAAGACACAGAGCCAGAATATGCCATTTGCACCCCTTCTCCCGTCAAAGGCGATCTGGGGCTAGCAGCCAACTCCCTCATGACTCTCTCCTTCTGACTCGCACGCACACTCTTAGGCTCCCTGAGATTGGGGATAGGTGATGCCACCTGATCTTACTCTTCTATTCAGACCTTGTGCCGGTATTCACATGTGCCCGGACTGCTGTGTCTGATGATGTCACAGGAGGCTGGGGGAGAGGGGACGAGATTTTCACAGGGCCCTACCTTCCTCCTCCTCCTCTCACAGGGAAATAGGAGTGGCCCATAACATTCCCAAAGTAGGCTGACTTCTCACTTACGTAGCAGATTGTCACAGCCGTGGCTCTGCTGGAGATAGAGAGGTGGAGAATGGGATGCCTCAAAAGAAGAAACTACCCTGGGGGAGCCTCAGGTCAGGCAACTAACTTGACAACATGAGTAAAGGCGGCGATTTCCAGATTTATCCTCTAGAAGGAGTGATCCGGCGGACAAAGGTGGGCCTGAAAGTGAGCCAGGATCTGCAGTAGGGCCTTCTTCATCAGGCTCCTATCAGGAATTTGGAAGTTCATTCTAACTACTGAAGCTAGGGCTGAAGGTGAAAGTACTGCCCAAAGCTTCCTTCAGCAGCATCTGGGCAGTGTCCCCTTCGTGGTCTGAATCCCTGCTGACTCAACGCTTTCTCCTCCCCGTGCTGGTTGCAGGCGTATGTGTATTTAAATGAGGCAGAAAAGTTGCTGAAGACTCTCAAGAGGCAAAAGACTTGGAGTCAAACTTTCGAGGCTGCCACGTTCTTAAGCCTTAAGGGTCAGGTAAGAAACTATCAAAGATAGGAACTCATCTGCTTTGTGTCATGACGGCTTCCCACACAGTAAGTAACAGCCATTACTATACTCTTTGACATGCTCCGACCATACCTCACGACTCTCTGCCCTCGAGCCCCGGGCCTCAAATCTCCCTGACTTGGGAATAACAAGAACTCGCCTTCCTTCCTCCTACTTGACGGCCTCATGGAATAGCTTCCTAATAACGTCCAAAGAACAGTTAGGCATTTTCTCAGAGGTAGAGGATATGTAACTAAGACATATCAGCTCAGAAACCAGCCTTCCATTCATACAGTTAATAAACCTTTACTATTATTCCAGGCAAACGCCTGTTGACGGAGAGTCAACTCCAATTCACAGAGACTCTACATGACAGAGTAGAAGTGCCCCACAGGGTTCCCAAGACTGTAATCATTACAGAAACAGACCGCCACACCTTTTACCTGTGGAGCAGCTGGTGCCTTAACACTGTTGACCTTTTGGTTTAGTAGCTATATTCTTCACCACTGTGCAACCAACTGGGGCCCGACGCTGGGAATGGGGGGTAGAAATATTCAAGATGCGAAGACTAGTTCTCAAGGAGGTGCTGTCTGAGTGAGCGAAGTGAACCGGGTGGTTAATAGACAGTGCCTGACGTCAGGGTATGCACTTGTTGCTGGAGGAACAGACTGAAAACAAAGTAGGACATCCTGGACCAGACTATCGGGACAGCAGAACAGCTGGCTGGGGTGGAAGGTAGGAATGGGTGGTAGAGAGGCTGTTAGGAAGGCTTCCTGGAGGAGCTGACGTTCACCTGGAAGTTGAGGAATGATTTGCTATTTTGGAGACAGAGAAAGGGGACGGGTATTCTTCATAGAATTCTTAGAAACAAAACAGAAAGAGAAACAACATAATAAGCAAAACAACAGACTGACTGCCATTCAGTCAATTCTAACTCAAAGTGACCCTATCAGAGAGTGGACCTGCCCCTGTGGGTTTACACATACTGTCCATTTCATTCTGACTCAGAACAACCTCGTAGGACAGTGGAACTAGCCACAGGGTGGTGTAGGCTTTCATCTTTACCAGGGCAGACGCAGACCTTTTCTATTGGTTAACCGTGGCACCACCACAGTTAGCTTTTCCATTACACACTCTCCAATATGCATGGTTGGAACATATCATCTGAGTCCAAATCATTACTTGTCTTTCCTTCCCTCTCTTCTCACTGCAGGTCTGTTTCAACATGGGCAACATGGTACTTGCCAAGAAAATGCTGAGGAAGGCTCTGAAGCTGCTCAATCGAAGATTTCCTATCACCTTATTCTCTTTGTTTGTCCATTCCCACATTGAGAAAAACAGGCACTTTCGTTATTTGAATCAGCAGACTCAACAGAGTCCACCTCCAAGGTCAGGGCAGGATCTGATGGTTAACAAGGATGTATGCAATCTTGCCATCTGGCAGGCAGCGTGCACCCCTTCCCAGCCAACATTGGGAGGTGCAGTTTCTCTTAGGGGTTGCCTGGGTGTGTGATTGATGGAGACCACCCTACTGGGGATAGGACTGGGTGTCAAATAGTCAAGTCATGCCCTATCAGTCACATCCCAATTACCTCGGTTGGAAGGCCCTGGACCAATCTTGTATACTCATGATCTGTCCCAATCATGGTCCTGTTCTTGCTTCTGTAGTCCTATCTGTAACTGTGATGTATTGATCTGGCACCAATCATGAAATGTGTGACCATTTCCTTTGTTCCATACCTTTTAAATTAAACTCCTGACGGAGACTCCTAGATTGCCATTATGACCTTATGCTCATGGCCTCCCACAGCAGGATGGTGGGTCTGTGTCCAATTTAAGATAAAAAAACAAGTTTTCCCTAAATTGTATTTGAGATTGGGGTCTCCTTTGTATGCAAAAACACCTTAGAACCTTTTGCCCACCCCCCTTCCCTCAATAGAATCAATATCATCAATGTCTAAATTGAAAGTACCTAAAAGTCTTTTTTATTTCACAATTTTACAATCTCACTTCCTTCGCACCTTTATTTAAAACCTCTTTGAGAAATATTTCTAATTGGAGTTTGTTTTCTATTTGTTAAAGCACGCATAGTTACATCCATGTTGCTTAGGGTCCCTTTGTTTTCGTCATAAATCTAGAGCATTTGGGGCTACATGATCAAGTAAATTGTCTGTTGGGGCTTGACCTATGAATCCCAACACTCTTTGGAGAAGATAGGTCATCTTCCCCTTGAGGACCTCTAGCACGGATGCTTACCACCTCCTGTGGTGTTCCGGTCCATCCTTGGAGAAGTTGGAATGTGGTTGTTAACAATGCTCCTTTCCTTTGTTGAGTGAGCTCTGGCTCCCACTAACCATGTGCCCTAGAGGGGCTAATATTCTGAACTGCCTGGGATGGGCTAGACCTGGCCAATGGATGGTTCTTGGTCCTGTCGCCCCCACCTTCTGGCTGTCTGACTTAGAGTTATTACCTTAACCTGGTTGGGTCTCACCTTCCCTCTCAGTAAATGGGGTGAATTATTCCTGTATTACGGGATCCTACCCTGTCACTGTGAATCAGAATCGATTTGTTGGGCACGAGGGGTCACTGTGAATCTGAATCGACTTGTTGGTGGTGAGTTTGGTTGTATGGGAGTGAGGATCCTGTGCCCCGTGTTCCCCCAAGGCCTAAAGCACAAAGATGATGACTTTTCGATAATCTGTCTGTGCTTACTCATTCTAATAGGAAGAAGAAGTTGGCACAATTTCACCGACAAATCATCTGCTTCGCTTTGCTGTGGAAGATTTATAGTGCAAATTATTTTTTTCACTATAAATATTATGCCCACTTGGCAGCTATGATGCAAATTAATACCGCACTGGAAACTCAAGATAATTTTCAGGTAAGCTATGTTTGCATAACCTAAAAGAGTTTGTATCTTGATTTTAAATGTTGGAATCTCATTTGAGAGAAAAACCTAGCAAAAGCCTAGCTAGATTTTGAAATCATGATATAATAAAAAGGCTTCATTGCTAAATTGTTTTACTGAGGTCAGCATTTCTCAAATATTTTTGTCTCAGGGCCACTTTCCACCACCATCAAGTCAATTCCAAGGGCCAAAGTATGACCTTGACTATATCGCACCTCAATTTAGAGATCATCTCAAAAATGGATCTGGCACCACAAACACTAACAATCAAAGACCAGAAGAGATGGGGAAAGACATCAAGGATGTCTTACATGCAGAAAGTAAAAGGTCAATAAAAAATACAAGGAAGAAGGAAAATAGAATAAAGTGGATATTTGAAGAGACTTAGAAACTTGCTCTGAAGGACACAATAGCTAACACAAGGAAACATGAACTAAAAGTGCTGTATAGAAGGTTTTGAAAGTGGTTTGAGAAGATGGCATGTGGAAAGACCTGGAGTAAGACAACTAAAGTGGGGAAAATAAAGAAAGAAAACGAAAAAGGAAGACCACAACTGGCATTTCTTAAGCTGATAGCAATGAAGAGAAAATTCAAGCTTGGAGTTGTAATATTGAAGGATTCTAAAAACTTAAATGGCTCAGTAAGCATCGAAAGAAGGAATTTAAAGAGGCAGTATACCAAAAATAATTAGTGTTCAACCATTTCAGAAGATAGCATATGATCATACCACTTAATACGAGTGGTAGTAAAGGAAGGAAGAAAATCTGCACTGAAGGTATTAATGAAAAGAAGCCTCTGGGAATTCCCAGAGTACCAATTGAGATGCTTCAGCAAATGGATCACTTACTTTTCTGTGTCAAGAAGTTTAGCAGACTATTGCTTGAATAACCTTTTGGAAGAGAGCTGTATCTGTATCCACTTAAAACAATGGCAAACAGGTTCATGGTAATATCTTTGTTCTTCAATATTTTAAAGAAGCCTTGTGCAGATTTGCTCGATGCAAAGTGTCTTTTAAAACTGCAGCTTCCATGAACCCTCATTATGGATCCAAGTAAAATAAAATGTTTTGACATCTTGAATCTTTTCTTCATGTATTAAGTTATTGTCTGCTGGTCCAGCTGTGATGATTTTTGTTTTCTTTATATAACCAATCCTGAAGACTTTAGACTGTGATCTTTATCAGTAGGTACTTAAGTCCACTACATTTTCAGCCAGCCTGCTTGGGTCTACACATCACAATTTTTAAATTAATAAATCATTTTATTGGGGGCTCTTACAGCTCCTATACCAATCCATACATCAATTGTATCAAATACATTCGTACATATGTTGCCATCATCATTTTCAAAACATTTTCTTTCTGTTTGAGCCCTTGGTATTAGCTCCTCTTTCCCCACCCCCACCGTCATGGACCCCTGATAAATTATAAATTATTATTATTTTCATCTCTTACACCATCCACTATCTCCCTTCACCCACATTTCTATTGTTCATCTCTCTTGGGACGGGGGGTTGTTGTAATATGTCGATAGTTGTAGTCGGTTCCCATTTCTCCCCCTTCTCCCTCCACCTTTCCTCTACCCTCATGGTATCACTACTCCCATTACTGTTCCTGAAGGGCTTATCTGTCCTGGATTCCAGGTGTTGAGAGATCTTATCTGTTAATTGTTAATGAGCCTTCCTCCAATCCTGATGCTGCATTCTTCTTCATATAGTTGAGCTTTTTGGATTATTTGTTTAGCATAAAATTTGAGTAACTATGGTGAAAGAATATAACCCTGACACATTCCTTTCCTTTCCTTATTTTAAACCATGTGACATTCTCTTGTCTATGCGCAGGTTCTATATGAGCACAATGAAGTGTTCTCAATTACCCTGGCTTCTCAAGAATATCCATAGTTTGTTATGGTCCACACAGTCGAATGCCTTTGCATAGTCAACAAAACAAAAGGAAAGCGGCATTGTCTACTTTCAGCCAAGATGCATCTGACATCAGCAAGGATAGCCCTCATTCCATGTTCCCTTCTGAATTCGGCTGGAAGTTCTGGAAGCTCCCTGTTAATGGACTGCTGTGACTCATGGAATTGTCTTCAACCAAGTGTACATCTATGCGATATTAAAAACATCGTTCAATAATTTCCACGCTCTGTTGGGTCACCTTTCGTTGGAGGGGGCAAAGATCTAGACCTCTTCTAGTCAGCTGGCCAGATAGCCATCTTCCAAACTTCTTGTCATAGACTATTGAGTGCTTCCAGCACTGCGTCAGTCTTTTGAAACATTCCCCTTGATATCCCATCAATTCCTAGAGACTTGTTTTCTCTAATGTCTTCAGGGCAGCTTGAACTTCTTTATTCATTACCATTTGTTCTTGATCAAGAACTGCCTCTTGAAACAGAAGACTTTTTTTAGGACAGTGACTCAATCCCAAAGGATTTGATTTTAATCAGCTTGAAGCTTGTTTTCCTTCAGTCCTTTCTGTTAGAGATACAGTGAACACGTATTGTCTTTTGGTTTTCTAACTCCAGGCCTTTGCACACTTCATTATAATGTTTTACTTTGTCTTCTTGAGTTGCTCTTTGAAATCTTGTTCGGCTCTTTCACTTCGTCATTCCTTCCTTTTGTTTCAGCAGATTTCAGAGTCTCTTCTGACATTCACTTTGGTCTTTCCTTTCCTGTCCTTTCAATGACGTTTTAGTTTCCTCACACGTGGTGCTCTTGATGTCAAGCTTCTATGGTCTTTGGCCGTTAGTGTTCAGTGTATCCAATCTGTTCTTGAGACGGTCTCTAAATTCAGGTAGGATAGACTCAAGGTTGCAGGTTGGCTTTTGCGGACTTGTGTTAATTCTTCAGCTCCAGCTTAAACGTGCGTATGAGCTACTGATGGTCTATTCCACAGTTGGCCCCTGGCTCTGTTTTGATTGATGAAATTGAGCTTCTACAGCTTCTCTTTGTACATAGTTTGTCAATTTGATCTCCGTGTATTCCATCTGGCAAGGCCCATGTAGAGTGTCAACATTCATAGTGTTGAAAAGGTATTGCAATGCAGCAGTTGTTGGTCTTACAAAATTCTACAATGCAATCTTCAATTTCATTCCTATCACCAAGGCCATATTTTCCAACTACTGATTCTTCCTCACTATTTCCAATTTTTCCATTCCACTTACCCTACTTATTAATGCAAGTTGATTGCACGTTGGATCAATTTCAGACTGAAGAAGTTGGTGGCATTCTCGGCACTGCTCAAAAGCAGAGGAGGACAGGGCCAGAATGAGCGTCGACAGCAGGTGTCTAGGATTCTACTTATTATAGTGTGCTCAACTTGAACATCACCTAACCTCAGCACCTTGTGTCTTCCTCAGAAAGGGACCATCCTCCTGGGTGAGATCCACACAGGCCTAGACTTTATTGCAACTTCAATGTTTTGTTTGTTTGTTTGTTTGACCAGTAAGTCTCTGCTTTTTACTGTTGGGTCTGGCTATCTTTCCCTTCTGTAGCAACAGCTGAAGCATCCTCCAGATCTGGAATACAGGAATTCCTGTCCTAAGCTTGAGTTTGTGATTTAACAAGTACCCAGAGACCTGCCTTTAATACAAATGTGTGGACTGATTTGAAGACTACTGGAGGGTTGAGGGTGGGTGTTCACAACAACACCATCTGCTTCTTCAAAGCCATGCCCCTACTTAACTGCCCCCAGTGCCTTACATTTTTACCATTAGGAACTTGGAGTTTCTCCTAGCTTAGCTTTCAAGGCAATTTATTTACAGTCTGTTTTTCAGATAACAAATTTCTTCATTAAAAAGAAATATGTTCCTCTCACTCTTTGCTAAGGAGCTCTACTCAGAAATAACTTTGTCATTTTAAGAGTTGTTTAAAGAGTAAATAAGAAAAACAAAACAAAAAACTCACAGCCATTGAGTGGATGCCGCCTCACAGTAACCCTATAGGACAGGCTAGAACTGCCTCTGTGTGTTTCTAGGACTGTACCTGTTTATGCGAGGAGAAAGTTTCGTCCTTCTCCGATCAGCTGGCTGGTGGTTGAGAACTGCTGACCATGTGGTTAGCAGCCAGATGCACAACTACTATGCCACTAGGGTTCCCAAAGAGTGAAGAACTTCTCTCAAGTCTCCAAATTAGATTTGTGGCTTCTAAGGAAGCAAACAAACGAAACCTCATTTTTTAAGTTACAAAAGTATTATGTGCTTGTTCTAACAAAATTAAGTCATTGTAAAAATGTGTAAAGTAAAAATTTAAGTCCCTCTTCTTCCTTAAACTTCTTCTCAGCCCAATAAATACACTCTGGAATGAATCTTTTCAAAAGCTTTTGCTATGCAATCAATATATCAATATCCGTAAGCTGCTGCTTGTATTAAGAAAATAAATAAAAGCCCTACATTTTACTCAAGCATTCTGTGGTCCTGCGCACTCATCAAGCTTGTCCTGAGGGATTCAGGTCGTAGAAACCCAATTTGATTTCTGTTCTAAGCCCATGGCTTTGACCAAATGGTCTTTTCCTTCCCTAGCTGAAGAAATAAATGTAGTTGCGAATGTCCCTGGGCTTTCTGCTCTAGACCCCGTCTCCGTCTTTCCCCTTCTCTCCCCCACTTCTGCCGTTTCAGATCGTGAAGGCGTACCTGGACTATTCCATGCACAATCATCTGGTTGGCTGTGAAGACTTATGGTTCAAGTACGAACTCATGGCCATGGAGCTGATCTTCAGCCTCCCCCTGAAAGGCAAGGGTATCGAAATTGTGTCATATGTGGCGGAGACACTGAGTTACATCAAGCTCCTCATGGGTCATCTGGACTTGGCCATTGAGCTAGGTAGGGGCTGGCAGGCATGGAGGGACGTGAAGGTCAAAAGAATGCCCTGGACTACATTGGAATGATTTCCTTCCCAGGCTCCCGAGCTCACAAGATGTGGGCACTGCTCCGGAATCCCAACAAGCACTACCTGGTCCTCTGTAGACTGAGTACTGCTCTCCTCCTGAAATGCAGGTATTTCCCTTAAAGCGCTTCCTGAAATTAAGGGGGCAAGACCCTACTAATGGAACGTTCTGGGCTTACTTGATCTCAGACATTGGGTGATGAAGGGAGGGTTTTTTTTTTAATTTAATCATTTTATTTGGGGTTCGTACAACTCCTATCACAATCCATCTATCCATCCATTGTGTCAAGCACATTTGTACATTTGTTGCTATCATCAGTTGCCAACAGCAGTCTGACCTCCCCCCACACTGCCTGACTGGTCAGTCTGATAAAGCAGTTGGAACAGAAAACTAGCTTGAGCTATAGGACCCAGTCCAAAGTAGGAGTGGGCGTAAAGGCTGTTTAAAGATTCCGTTGGGTTCTGAATTACTGGGCAGGACCAAGACTAGACTAAGGCTTAATTTCATCCTCTCCCTCCCACCCCCTGTTCTCCTTACTGTGGCCCCACACCTTAGCTCTTGCTTCGGTCTGGGGTGAGAGGTCAGTGCCCCCATCCCAATGGCTCAGTGTCACAAGGCAGGTTTGGTGAGACACAGTGCTGAAGCCAGTCCTCCTCCTGGCAAGGGCCCTGCACAAGAAGCCCTTCTGTCGGCCGCCTTTGTGGCTGCCGCTGCGTGCAGGCCCCCGGCACTCGGACCCTGCCACGGTGCTTCTTGACTTTCTCCCTGCGATGGGCAGAAGAGTCCAACCACTGTTTAATCCCAGGACCTTTTCTTTCCCACAGATATAAACAATTGATCCAGGTGCTCGGGTGGCTGTGGGATCTTTCTGTAGCTGAAGAGCACATCTTTAGCAAGGCCTATTTCTATTTTGTCTGCCTGGACATCATGCTTTATTGTGGTAAGATTGGGCTTGGAATCTAAAAGGAATTGGGAGGTGACGCCTAGGCTGGTGTGCTCTGGTCAAGCCCAGAGCTAGGGTGTTCAGACCACAGAGTTTCTGGCTGGGAGGACATTCAGGGCAAGGATGGGGAGAGCCTGATCTCGCTGAGCATGGGAGCTATCTGGCAGGAGGAGAACATTGCAAAGGAGAAGAATTAAGTCTGGAGGAACATGTTGGGCATACGCTGGCAGATCAGCGTGCACATAGTGATGGTGCAGTTGGTTGTTGTCTAGCCCATCCCAGTACATGGCATCCCCAGGTGTGCACAGCAGAACTGCACTCCGTAGGGTTTGCAAGCTCTGACCTTTCAGAGCAGATCCCCACGTCTCACTTCCCAAGGGGTTTGGACCACCAAGCTGTTCTTCAGTAGCCCACCACGGACCGAGTTGCAGCACCCAGGGACTCTGATCTGAGGGTGAGTGAGTTAGACATGCCTTTTACTAGCGGTGTTTAACGCTCAGTAGGATTCCGTACCTGAATACTTCATGCTTTTGAGTGAAGGACTAGATTTCTGATGGTGGGAGTGCCAGATGGGAAAGACGATTTCGAAAACAAGGTTTTCTCCTGGCTACCTTCAAGTTACACCAGGAAGACAGACCTTGGGTCCCTTAGTGTATAAATCAAACCGGGGCACCAACCTGGGCACTGATTTGCCATGATTGTGAAAGGCGATGCAGATAGTCCCGCCCAACAAGGGGAGAAGGGCCAAAGAGTGAGCGTGATGGGGGTGAAGATGAAGTCCCGGGCTGCCTCCTTGAGCTTGGCCAGGACAGGTGGATTAAAACCTATACCTGCCTGGATGATGCTTTGTGAATGTGTCATCTGTGCAAAATTCCACAGGAGCTGGGACTCAGCCAACACAAGACAGTGCAGTCAGATTGCTGTTGCACCCCGTGGACCAATCTGGGTCCTAATGTCATCAGAGAGTAAAGTCTCTTTCCTCGGGGGAAAAGTCTTTATAGGGAGCTACTCCCATCACCTGCAACGCTCTCCTGTTGTCTCCTTTTCAGGCTTTATTTATAGACCGTTTGAAGAATGTTTGGATTTCATCTACCAAAATGAAGACAACAGAATCCTCAAGTTCCAAAGTGGCATCTTGCTGGGCCTGTACTCGTGTGTGGCTATCTGGTAACAATGTGCTGCATTCTCCCTAAATCCCCCAATGACAAGGCTGAATCCTGGAGAGTGTGGTAAGATGGGAGGGGCAGGAAAGTATAACGTAGGACTGCAACAGCTTCAAGGCACCGGGATATTTACACTGACACACAATGCTAGCCACCCTCTGGCTCATCCTCAAATGAGGCCAGTAGGCAACGCTCTCTCTATTGTCTCCAGCATCACAAATGTCCGTTACGTACCCACCACGTTATGGACCTGGGGACTGAACACACAAAGACGACTTGCTTCTATGGAGTGTGACAGGGTCTCCTGAATGCAACTCACCACTTGTCCGCCCGGTCTCACCAAGATCTAATCCAAACAAAACATAAAGCTGATGCCGGCAGAAAAGGCTTAATGCCTGCAGGCAGGTGGGCTTCCTCGTTTTGAAATTTAGGATTAGATTTATCTACTTAGCAGCAGGCATTTGTAGAAAACTTGAGGTTGCCCACACAGAGGCAAGGCTCTTTCCACCACAAGGCAGAGAAGGATCAAGACTGACCTACCCATCTCTGACTCCTTTCCAAGAGTCACCGACCAGCTCCTTCAGGACAGGGTAAGGAGGGAAGAGACCTGGAACTCAGCACCAACAGCGCTCCCCGCCATGGACAGGATCCTCAGGGGTGAGGGAGAAGCACTCAACCGCCACCATGAACCCATTCTGTGTTTTAACTCATTCAGCCGGTGGGGTGACATCTGCCTCAGGGAAGGAGGGCAGCAGTCCATAAGTGAGCCACTCATCCACCTCCCGCAGGTCACGCTGCTCCCTGGGGACTCCCTGGGTCCACTGGTGGCCACTTTTGACTTTGCCTCTGAAGACGATGAAATAGGTCCGAACGAACATTGGTAAAATTACATCTACGCCTATTCCCGAGACGGAGCGTCATTCTCTGTTGAACTCTCCATCAAAAATGACAGACAGTCGTGTTTTCTACCACGGTTCATCAGAAGCTTTGTGATGAGAGGAAATGAAAATATGAAGATATTCCTATGTCACAAACTGGAACTGTGTCAAATAGGGACACAAACACCCTCTCACTCTAAATTGTATTGGGAGAAAATTAAAACCCAAACCAAGAGCTGCTCTTGCCAGCCAAAGTCCCCTTCCCCAAATGAAAGTTCAGGGTCAAAGTAACTTGCCTGTGTGAATTAAAGCTCAAGAAACTACAGCCCCAACTCCATCCCTTTCTCAATCCAACGTCTTCTTCTATTCCATCGGAATCTACTCTGACTAGAAGGTTCCTTCAACAGGGATGCCTTCAGTGAACACTTGTCAAACTGCAGTAGGAGTCGGGTCACTGAAGGAGCTCAGGTGGGGCTGTAGGACAAATGTCAGACCGGTCAAAGCAGAAGAAAGAGGAGGCTGCCTGATCCCACGAAGAAATACAGTCTCAGAAACCCTCTGAGTGGGAAATAGGCGCCCTGGTGGCATAGGGAGTTAACTGCAAGGTTAGCAGTTCGAAACCACTAACTGCTCCTTGGAAAAAAATGAAGCCTTCTACTCCCTGAGAGAATGACAGTCTCAGAGACCCCACACGGGCAGTTCGACTCTGGCCATGAGGGTCACTATGAGTCAGACTTGACTCCGTGTCAGTGAGTTAGGAGCCGGAAATGACTTGTTGACCTTCGATTTGGGGTTTAAGAATCACCTGGGGAGTTGGTCAACCCCGATTCCTTGTCTCACCCTCACTGTCAGGAGCCCTGGTGTCCTGGTGGGTGTGTTACAAGCTGGATTGCTAACTGCAAGGTCCGAAGTTTGACTGCCAGCATCTCCTCAGGAGAAAGATGCGACTTTCTACTTCTGTAAAAACAGTCTCAGAAACCTGAGAGGTCTGTTTGACTTTGCCCTCCAGGGCCCGTGTGTCAGAATGGACATCTACCAAAAGACTCACTTATGGACTCTCAGGGTCTGTTTGAGTTGGCACGTCTGGGTTGGACCACAGGATTTGTATTTCTAAAGAACAACTGCGTGATGGGTGAGCTGCACTGGGCCATCCAGCCTCTGTCTCTGCACACTGAGCAATCCCTTCAAGACCTGGAATTTACAGCTCATGTATCTGATGAACCAAACTAAACTCACTGCCAAGGAGTCAATTCCCACTCATAGTGACCCTACAGGACAGGATAGAACTGTCCCCATGGGTTGCTGAGACTCGGAGAAGCAGATGGTTTCAAACTGCTGACCTTTGGTTACCAGTCCAATGTATAACTCCTACACCACTCGGGTCCCTCTCTGTGTCTGCTATGATGCCTCATTTTTAAAGGGTCCAAAGAATCAAGAGAATGTTGCACCCCAACTCACCACCTTTAGAAAATAAGCCCGTGTGTAGAGCTACCTTAGGAAAGGAGTTACCTTAGGAAAGATTGCCTATAGACTCAAGTATAAGCCAACCCAAATATCAGCTGAGACACCTAATTTTACCATAAAAACCGCAATACTAATGTGCTGAAAAACTCGGCTTATCCACGAGTAGAAACGGCATGTTCCCCGTGAGACTCGGGCGGAAACACAGTAGCATCTGAAAGGAGGGGGGTGGGGTTTCCTTCCTTAGGTCAGAGTAATTATGATGCAGGTCAGTCATTCTCTGTCTATCATCTGTGGACTTGGAACTGAAATGAGTAGCCTGGACATCGGGAATTTACCGTTCCGGAGTGGGCAGCACTTCATGTTTTTACTGTCTCTGCCCTCAAGAAGGGAGCAGCTTTGGAACACTGCTGTAAAGCTTGGATCTCAAAGAGGTTCTTATTGCTGTTTAACATTTTGTGGGGGAGCTCTGGTGGCCTATGGGTCACCCGGTGAGCTGCTTGCCGAAAGGCCAGCAATTCGAATCTGCTCTCTACTCTAAGGGAGAAAGACGAGGCTTTGTATTCCCATAAAGACTTAAAACTCACAAGGGTCGTTCTACTCGGCCCTAAAGGCATCCCTATGGCTTGGTACTGACTGACGCAATGACAATGAGTGAGTACACGTCTGAGTTTCCATTTCCAGGGTGAAACTGAAGGTGGTGGTGATGGTGGTTTTGATTTTGTTGTCATTGTTTCATTTTATTTTTGTTACGGCCTGGGGTTTCAAATATTGACCATATTCTCCAATATGCATACTGTCCTAGTTCCTCTAGCCCTCTACTTAACTATAACCTTCACTGCCATCAAGACCGACCCTATAGGGCAGGGTAGAACTGACCCGCTGGGTTATCGGGACTGGAACTCTTTATGGCAGTATAAAGCTTCATTTTTCTCCCGTGAAGCTGCTGGTGGTTTTGAGCCCAAATGCTGAGAGTACAGACTAGCCAGTCTGGGAAAATCTTGGATTTGCACAAGCTAATGTAGCACAGTTAATGAACTTCGACCAAGCACTGTCCCTTTAAACCTGCTTTGTTCCCATCTGTAAAACAGGGTAATATGTATATCTACCTCATATGATTGCTGCAGAATCGCGTTAGATGGTTAGAGACTGTATGTAAAACATGTTGCTTAATGCCTGACTCTTGTAGTCAACACATGGTGACTCATTATGTGAGTACTCCCAAGGAGTCTAGTCTTTCCAAGCTCCATCTGACACAATTTTCTTATTTTTCAGAGAGAGTTGAGTGAGGGTTCTAGAGACTCACTTAATAAGATACACTGCCGGAATGATCCAGTTCAGAAAATCTGCCCATCCTAAGGTTTTTTTTTTAATGCTTTTGTGTTGATACAGGTATGCTAGACTTCAAGAATGGGGCAATTTTCGAATATTTTCCAATAAAGCTAAAGTTCTAGTGCCAAGAAGAACCCCAACCTCTCTTTACTGTGACGGAATCAGTAGGTACCTAGAGGCACAAGTTCTCTACCTTCAAAACCAAATTGAAGGGCAAGCTGAGAACGCCCAGGACAGCGGGGTTGAGACACTCAAGGTGAGGCCTTTTCTTGTTCCTATGGAAGCCACCTCTTCAGTGGGGTTCCATGCACCGCCCATGCGAACTAGTTTCTCTGATTACAGGATTTCTTTGTTTATAATAGAAGTTGTTCAATGTATGTGGGAGAGGGGAGAGGAGCACTAGAACCGATGGTGATTATACAACTCATTTTAAAAGTGATTTAACCATGGGGGCTGGGGGTGGGGAGTGTTCTAAAATTGATTGTGGTAATGATTGTTCAACTCTTCTCGATATGATTGAACTATTGAATTGTGTGATAGGTGGATTAAGTGCCAATAAAACTACTTTAAAAAAAGTTGTCGAAGGTAGTCCCCTAAAATGTGAAAGAATAAAAATTGCCTATAATCTTCCTATACCCACTTTTTATATACCGAGATGCCACCTTCCGGATTTCACTCTCTGTGTGTAGGTGCGTGATTTGTATTTCCCTAATGACTAGGGATATTGAGCATGTGCTTTTTGACTTTCTATCTTCTTTGGAGAAATATCTGTTTGAGTCAGTTACCCATTTTTATTAGAGGTTTTGTTTTGTTATGAGTTCTTAAATGTATTCTGGATAATATATATATATTATATATAATTTGCAGATACTTTCTCCCATACTATGAGTTGTCTTTTAAAATTTTCTTAACAATATCATTTGATACATAAGAGATTTTCATTTTATTAATTTTGATGAAGTCTGGTGCTTTTGAAGTCATAGCTAAGAATCCATTGCCAAATCCAAGGTCCTAAGGTTTACTCCTATGTTTTCTTCTAAGAATATGTGCACTAAGTAAGGGGCCACGTAGGAAACTCTACCTCTGTTTGCTAACTGCACAGTAAGGATCAGCATGAGTCTGACCCCCAAAATATGGTGTTGGATCCACTCCATTATTTCATCCTCATTACCGGCCAGAGTTGGGCAAATCGGCTCACACGTTAGATGAACTCCTCCTTCACACTGCCAGATAGACAAACGCCAGCCCCTGCGGGTTCTCACTGGTCTGGAGGGTTTGTAAATTAGATGGAATGACACAGAATCTAGCAGAGGGTATAGCATACTTCCGACTACAGCTTTCTTATGACCAAGAAGGCTATAAAGGAAGAGATACACGGGGTGTATCTGAAAGTGGCGACAGCCCTGAGCTCCCATGATTCTCTCCGATGCATGGTCACCAACCAAGAAGTTCATTTGAGCTTTAAGGCTCGTGTCTGTTATAGCTTCCCCATATGGCCAGGGGAGATTATTACATCTATGACTCATTTTTTCTGTTTGTTTGTTTTATGCTTTATTGTGACTTGGGTGACTTGGGTGAAGGTTTACAGAGCATATCATGTTTTGCACCCAACAACTGATACACGTTTTTGCCTCGACTCATTCCTTGCAATCCCTTTACTTATCCCACGTCTTTCACCTATATCCTGTTTCCATTCTTTCTTCTTTCCTAACCCTCTGTCCTTGGGTAAATGCTGTATTTGTTAAAATCTTAAATGGTTGATAATTTTAACCTGGGATAATGAGTTCAGTTCCAAGCCTGAAGGGTGACTACGGGCCACAATCGTGGGGGCCCCCCCACAGTCTCTGTCTATCTGACCAATAAGCCTGCTGTCATGATTTTAAGTTCTGCTCTACATTTTCCCCACTCTATCCAGAACCTTCCAACCTAGGCCTTTTCAGAGCAGTTGGTACTGGTAGCCGGGCACCATCTAGTTCTCAGGGCTGTGGAGACTGCTTGGTCCATGAGTTCACTAGACTAATTGTTTCCATAGGACTCTTATTTCCTCCAGAAAATAAGTGACCAATGTTTGCACCTCAGCTGGCTGATCGTGATCTTTTAAAACCCCAGTTACTAATCCCCAAGGTAGACAGAGAACATTGTCTTCGTGAAAGGTGTTATGCCAATTGAACTTGACTCCCCCTATGATCCTGAGCCCCCAGTTCAATGACTTCTTTCTTCAAGGTGTTTGGTTATGGCTGAGATGTGTTCATGACTTTGCCCTTACTATGCTCCACCATATCCCTAGATATATTTGCAACAAAGATAAAGACACAACCACATAGTCTCTGTCCAACCTCTCTCCTACACTCGTTCAGCCTGTGTGTCTGTCCAAGCATCTTTGTAGATCATGACTATTACAGGATTGTGTATATAACAATGTTTGCCTCTGTTGCCTTTAACTCTTGCAAAACTTCCTGGCTCCATCATTTTTTCCTAATCTTCCGCTTTATGTTACCTTCCCCTTTACCAAGCAAACATTCGTCTTCCCTCCAGACCAGTGGTTCTCAATCTTCCTAATGCCACGACCATTTAATACAGCTCCTCATGTTGTGGTGA